GACTGCGTGTGAGGGATGAGGGAGGGGGGGGCATGCCGGTGGACGTGTGGAGAGGTGGTGGGGAACCGAGCCGGCGGGAGGGCGCGACCTCATGGTGCACGGCCGCCTCGGCGCGGTGAGCGTCACTGATGGATGATAGTGCGACCCCCTCTCCTCAACCTCATGTCCCCCACCACACACCCAACAACCACACCCTCAGTCGGACATGCTGGCCAAGGCCAAGGCGACGCTGGACACCTGCATCGAGCAGGTGACCACGTGGGAGGGGTTCATGGCGGCCCTGGAGCGCAAGCACGCGGTGCTGGCCCCTTGGTGCGACGAAGAGAGTGTGGAGGAGGACGTGAAGCGGCGGTCGGCGGGCAAGGACGGCGAGAACAAGGACGCACGGGAGGCAACCATGGGGGCCAAGACCCTCTGCATCCCGCTGGAGCAGCCGGAGCTGCCGGAGGGCACGATGTGCTTTGCCTCTGGCAAGCCCGCCAAGAACTGGGCGCTGTGGGGCCGGTCCTACTGAAGCCTGAAACGTGTCGCAGGGGACGGCAGGGGGCCAAGGCCGATGTGCAGGCCGGAGGAGGGTACGCACGGGAGCCTGGACTACCAGGTGCTGCCTGATGAGCCTGCTGCCCGGGCCTCCCTCGAACAACGCAAGTACCCAATCTGGGATATCAGGAACCCACCCTGTCAGCACTGCACTGCTGCCAAGAACTGAGGAATGCCAGGCCTGCCATAGATCACAACGTGTGTATACAAATGGCACTTGCTCAGGCATGCAGGCAGCGCCTGCTCCGCAGCAACAAGCTCCAGCGCAGAGCGCTCCGCACTAGCCTCCTGTGGGGGGAATAATGTATGTACAGGTCGTGATTAGGAGTCGCCCAAGGGCAAAGGCCGGGAATGTCGGCCCAGCCAGAGCCCACAGCGCATCCATGCCAACAACCCGCTGGGTGCGCTGTGCGCCAAAATAGGAAACCCCACCACGCCATGGGGGTGGGCACTGGCGGGGGGCAAATCGGCGCGTGCGGGCTGGAGGAGATGCGCCATGGGCCGGGTGACTGATGAGATGCAAGCAGGTCTGCTCAGACTCCCCACAATCTTGTCCACAGGGACACAAAGGCTTGCAGGAATGCAGCCGGAGGGGTGGTGTATCATCACAGCAGACAAGCTAGATGGTAAGTTGAGTTTGAAAGGTCAGCTAAACAACGACAGCACGATGCTCGTCAGCCCCGTCCATGCCCAGTGAAGGGCAAAGGGAGTGGCAGGAAAGCACACATGAAGGGCTAGAGATCTTCATTGCATCGTGCAGAAGGACGGGGAAAGGGGAAATTGGTGCAAGGAGGAAGTGCACGTGCTTCTGTGCTCATAGGCCAGTGACATCACCCAGGAGGGTGAGCTCAGGGGGCAGGAAAACCCCACGCAGGCCAGGTATCTTCACAGCACAGAGGTTAGCATGTGTTGACGCAAGATCAAAAAAAGACAATGCTCTGAAACCCAGGTTTTGCCGAAACAATTGGCAAGATCGATGGCAGGAAACCATCTGGCAGGGCTAAGTTTCATCACAGCAGTGTGGGGCCAGGTCAGACGTAAGAATGTCCATAGGAAGAAAAGGAGTCTGCTCAGGGACCCAAGCACATGCCATGTAGAGTGGCAAGGAGTGGCGGCAGGAAACCACCAGAATTGGGCACGGTTCCAATCAGCGCAGAGGTGGGGTAAAAGAAAACGGCCAGGAATATTCCGAAGGTTGGTTCCAATTGTGCATCACTGATCCAAATCAGACCCCCCCAAAATCAGAAACAATGCCCAGAAAAGGTGGAGGCTCACCTTGTAAACTCTGGCATTCCAGTGGAAACGTGAAGCAGCAAAAGTCGTCCGAGACAAGGAAAATCTGCAGGAGGGGAGGACAGGGGCTCACTCAGTCAAGCACAGGGCTTATAGTAAGTCAGGAATCGATCTGCACGACTATGAAAACAGCACTAGCGTTGATTCAAGGACATATGAAGCAGCGGTCATCAGACAAATGCCTCGGTTGTCGCTCATGAGCGCGTCGAGGAGTGCAACAGAACGTTGCACAACAACGCATCAGTCTCGTCATCTAAATGTATGTCACCATCTGACCGCGGGAGAGCAAGCTGAGAGGGGGCAAAGCATGTACAGGAAGCATGCACAGAATGGGAAAGGACATGGCAAGCTCCCAGGAGGCAAGGGATCAGATATTCTGGCAATTGTTGAGTAATTGAGATAGCATTTGTTGGAATCAGCGTCGATCATTTGGGGAAAGTGTCCTCACGCCCCTTGCCAGGGAGCAGCCATCAGGGAAATGGAGAAGATTCAAGAGAAAGGGGAACAAAAAGGGTGAATCCAGCCATCTGCAACATTGCCCACACAAACAGAAGATAACATTCACAACCGCCTACCTTGGTGTTGCCTTCCAGGAGTGAACGCTGAAACTCCCCTTGGGGGTGTGCTGACAATTCAACTCAGCAATGTGAACCAGTGCCAACCTGTGCAACAAGAGCAGACACAAAGGAGATGAAGATTAGTCGAGAGTACTCAAATACACAGGGCCCCACATATGGTGCAAAAACACGAGGGAAAGAGTTCACAAGGTGTTGCTTAAGTATATATCAGCACCAAATTCGCAGTGCATCACAGGGTGACCTAGCACAGCGACTCAAGGGCTGTTTGCCTCTACGTCCGAGTTGGGGGCCCTCACGGCCATAGACCCAGAACTCCCAAGGGAGAACCAGGCCGCGGCATAGAGGGAAGTATAGACGCTCTGAATCCACCTCGATACCCATAAACAGCTCTGCACCCGTACTCCCAGACGGACAGTCAACAAGCACACCTAAGGGCGGTGTGCTGCTGAGACTTGGACACCATCTAGATTGTGGAATCAGGGATTGTCACATGAGGTGAAGTCCTCCAAAGACCTCACCAACCTTGTTGTTGATACCTGCAGGTGGGAAGGAGTGAACAGGTGAGACTGGGTGCAGTGCTGTGCTACAACCATGACGTAGACTATGCCAGTGCAGTACAGTATCCGAGACATCAGCTGCCATGAAAGGGGGAAAGGGGGTTGCAGGTACGATGGACCTCAGCAAACAGCCATGTTTGTCATCAGATCCGAAGATCAGCCGGTAATTCCATAAAAGAATCCGTCATCGGCCTGTGGCTGCAGCACCCCGTCCAAAAGCAAGAAAACGATGGTAGGCCACAAGGTCAGCAAAATTTCGCGGTAAACTGATGTATGTGCTCAGAAAGAGTGAGCTGCGGCGACACAGGGGGCAATCGCAGAAAATCAAAATGGGCTCAGGACTTCTTAGAGGTTATTTTGACGTTCCTCATCTGACTTTCGCCATCGGAGGATTGACAGACAAAATTGTTTCATCACCGCCCAGGTGAGAGCTGGCTGAACTGGCCCTCAGTGAGGGAGCCAGGCAGCAGGGTAGGCAGACAAGAATCCCGCAAGGGGGGAAGACGAACAGCACAGGAGCTCTCTGACAAGGTCTATCAATCACTGAGATCAGACGGCACGTTCCTATCATAGAATGTATAAGTTTATATCTTCCTTGAGCTCAGGTGCCATGGCCACAGGTTTCCAATCGATCGTGGGAGAGAGCAAAGGGAACATGGTGCCGTGCTACCCCCCCAAACAATGTCCCAGCTTCGACATCACACACCTTTGTGCAGACGGGCGGCGTGGTGCTGCTCCCGCACATCTTCATTGCCCGGGCGCGGCCAGCTACTCCATGTCGGCCTGGCAGGCAATTGGGATTGGAAGAGTGAGGCCATGCATGACCCCAGTACGCGTATTCATCAGGATGCATTCATCAGGGGTGCTGACAGAAAATGTGGACAACAGCACGTGGCACCAGAAGGCACACAAAGGCGCTCGCCTGGCTTCCTAAAGTGCCCAGATGAAATTTCAGTTTCAGCTCTCCCTTTGGACAGATGGAAGTCACAGCCAGCGAACCGGCTCCTTCATCCGTGGCAAGGCGGCTGCATAGCCTGGGCATGCAGGTACTGACCCACTCAACACGATCCCCGCGCAGACTCACCATGAGGTCGCAGAAACGCCCGCACTCCCAGGCAGCTGCAGCTGGCGGCGCTGTGCACCGCCCCGCACCGTCTCCATCAGAAATAAAGGTGCATGTCTGCGCCACCCTGCAATGGTGTGCAAATGGGAAGGATGACAGACTGGTCTAACACAGCGGGGCTCCAGGTGCCTCCACACGAGGCGCCAGCACAGGCTGCAACACTCGATCTGGCCCCTCCGAGGAGGGAAGTTCTGTGGCACGCGATATTGGGACATGCAGCCCACGGGATTTCACACCAGGTGAGAGGCGGCTGTCCGGGGTACATTCGCATGCGTTGAGCAGCAGGCAGCAAGGAAAGATGGCTAGGCACAGCGGCCCATGCAGCTACAACCTCGGCATTGGCCCAGTACCCATAGGACAGCAACATGGCAGCCTCGCACCTCAGGGGCAGATCAGAGTGCAGAGCGAGACCTGGGACCAGCCCACCTCCATGCTGCACCTGGTACAGAAGGGGCAGGGCAATCAAGGGTTTAAGGGGTGCAACGTTTTGGTGACCCACAGGCATGGCTGTGAGTCCAAGAGGGATGGCAAGGCAAGGGAAGGAGTGTGCCAGCGAGACAGGTCAGCACAGACATCCACTGAGAGGGCGTGTGCTGGTTTTTGGTCTGGCATGCAGCCGTCTGCGTCCCGCGCAGCACCCGCCGCCCATTGTGGAAGGCACGGCAGGGAAATAACCATGCTGTGCAAGACGTGCATGTCAGGGCAGCTCGAGAAGGGGGTGACAAGTTGTCAATCACATCCCACTCATCACCAACCAACGTACCCGTTGTGCAGCAGGGAGCGGGCTCCGCCAAAATTGTGCTTCATTGGTGTGATCGTGCCTGCGGGGAAGATGCATCTCCGGGTCAGTGATGGTGCTAGAACAAGGTTGCTAGTCAAAGGCGGCAGCAGGGCCAGGACATTTCCCGACGGAACTCAGAGCAGGTGCACCATGCACATACATTCAACGTACTGGAATGAACAGGATTTGAGATAGAACAAGCAAACGGCGAGGAAGCCGGATCAGGCAGACGAAGGACGGCATGCGAACACATCAGACGAGAGGCCGGCTCAGTAGTGCCTAATAGTTCGATTCCGTGGCAGGTTTTCTCCTCAAATATATCAGTAGAGGGAGCCTTGGATATCGTCACCGCCGGAAAGGGATGCAACTAGCCATCAAACAAAATGCACCCCACCGAAGTGCGTCGTACCTTGGCACCAGGGGTCCCGCCTGTCAGCTCCGATAAATGGAAGAAGCGTGCAGCATCGCGAAAAGCAATGCTGTATGCTGAAAAGATGATAATATGTCGCAGACCGGGCGTGGCTGCGCATAAGAAGACGGCGATGCAGACATCAGGAGGCCGAAGCCCTGGGACGAAAGTTGTGGCCCCCTCCGTTGCACTCGTACCGAGGTGTGCAAGCTAGGACTTGTACCGCTCCCAAGACCTTCCTGGCTCCCTAGAGATCAGGTATGCGATGCATTGCTCTATATATCAACCTGAGGGGTGGCCTGGCCCGCCGTTCCCGATTTGGGAACCCCTGCAGTAAAAGGAAGGTTGCAGAGCGTGTTGTGCGCCAGTCATACGCTTCAGAGTGGCATGATATTTCTGAAATCAATCATGACATGCAGTGGATGGGCTCAGATACCGGTGACATCAAGCAGCTGCAACCAAGAACATCTCGAAGAGTCAAGGTGTCGGCACAGGAGTCTTCTGATAAGATCAAGTTATTGAGTCATCGCCCCTGGGCTGTGCAGAATACAGCCAAGAAGCCCACGAGGCTTGTCGACCTACCATATCTCGGATATTGCAATAAATAGATGGAGGAGATCTACGAAAGGTAGCAATCATCGCATCGTCCTCTCCTGACTTCCCGCATCGGTGGGTTGGCGCTCAAGCTCCTGCTCTTCCTGCTCTGCATCCCGCAGCATTTGGGCAAGGAAGTGCTCCTCCATCTACGCCATGATGCAAAGGGTATGCAGGATTTGTATGCTACCCTAGAAGCAAGATTCCATTGGACATGTAGGATTCAGGTGGGCATGTGCATCTTCACAGGAAGTAAGCTGCACTAACAGATCCTACAAGGTGTACTCCTCCAGACGCCCAGTGTCACACCACCGTCAGATCAGTGTTCGCTCACCACCAGTCTTGCCAGCTGCTTGGTCACAGTCACATGTATCTGGGTGAGGGCCGAAGCCTCGGTGCGCAGCGCTGTCTCAATGTCCTGGTGCATTTGGTGAAGGCGGATACATGCGAGGCAGGCCACGAGTATACGGCGACGATGCAAAGTCATTTCATAAAAGATACCGACCTTTGGACATAAAGTGCACGAGAGCGACAACCTCCGGCACCTCATATGCTTGCCTTGGCTTTGAGGTTGCCGATCTTCCTCTGCTGTGACATGACTCCGCACGGACTCGCTAAAGCGATGACAAATGTGCAATATGAGAGAGTTTACACTACATGCGTCGGATCGAGTTCGACGTAGCATGGGAGTACACATTCCCTTGCGACCAGAGCATGCGGCAAACAAATTTCAACCGCATGCCGCATACCGCATGGATTCCACGGTTCCCATCGGCCTTGAATCGCATAGCGTGAATGGTCCCTGTTGAATCCAGGCTCCATCTCAATCTTCTTTCTCGCACAATACAAAGGGGACCTCCTGGCTGCCGCTCCTCGTTCAGCATGGCCCCCGCGTGTTTGTGGCATGGGCCCAGTCTCCTCAGGACCCCATGCGAGCGATCCGCGAGGAGCCCGGGTGCCAGCGGCCCAAAGGCTGCAAGCAATGTCACACGGCTTGCCAGATCATCCTGCACATCAGTGGCATCCAGCTCTAGGCCACCGTATGACAGTGGGAGAACTGGGTCGACCCCTTTCACCTCCAGGCTGCATGCCACCATCGCCCGCTCCTCGGTGGCTGCCCGGCCTCACTCCACCTTGAACGCTCAGCAACCAGCCATGGTGTGGTTCAAGCACGATCTGCGAGTGGACGACCACCCCGGTCGTGTGTGAATGTGGAGAGACGGCGCCCATGCTGGCCGTCTTCTGCTATGACCCGGAGGTGTATGCGCACACTGTCCTGGATGGAGCGGCTCATGGAGCCCAGGGTGAGTGAGCACCAGGGCTTCAAGTACTGGATGCGCATGCAGAGCTGCTCGCCTGGGGGCTTGTGCCGCGCCTTCCCTGCTCCTGGTGGTCATGTGTGCAGGGGAAGTCCTCCAGCCTGGTCGTGCAACGCTTTTACTCCCTTCATCCACAAGACCCCGCCCCTCACCCAACACTTGCAATGCACAGCGCTGGCGACTGCTCTGCAGCGGCTGACCCGGGACCTGGCCGACCGGGGCGTGCAGCTCCTCGTCACCTCTGGCAGCTGGCAGGAGGTCATCCCCGACCTGGCGGCGGCGGCCGACGTGCGCCGCGTGCTGGCAGAGGACGAGGTGGAGAGCGGGGCGCGGGCGCGAGTGCAAGCCGTCGCTGCGAGGCTGCCGGCCGGCACCCAGCTCCATACCTGGACGGCCCCGCTGCGAGCTGGCTATAGCGACACGCATGCAGGCAAGGAGGGGTGGCATCATGCGTCTTGGTTGGTGTGTTTGGGGAGAGATACGTCGTCGTTTTGGATCTTGCAGCCTCGAGCGCCAGATTGACTGCATTTCTGTGAGGTGCACGGCGTATGCTGGGCGACCCACCAAGGCACAGATGGTATTGTCATCCGTTCCTGGCCCTTCCCCACTCTACCGTGCCCTCCCCCACCCTGACCTGCCATCTCATGTCGATCGCGCTCATTCGCATTCTCATGCAGATGGCGCTGACAGCCAGGGAGCCGCTGCTGCCCCACTGGATCCTCCGGCGCAGCTCCTGGGCGTGCAGCCGCCCGCAGTACAGACCGCTGTACCCCTCTCCGCGAAAGAGATGGAGCGGCTGGCGGTGCTGGCCGTGGGCGCCCAGCTCCATCCCTCGCTCCAGTCGTGGTGGCAAGAGCGGGCGAGCGTCACTCTGGGGCAGGATGAGGGTGCCTCCGGCCCGGCCCTGCCACTCGACAGCCAGGGTGCCTTGGACGCCCTGGACGCCCGCCGGTCGGACTTGGAGGAAAGGGCAGGGGCGTCACATTTGGGTGCGGCCACTAGCCTGCCTGCTCCAGGCCGGGCAGACGGGGCAGACACCGGGATCGCGCCGCGTGGCGCATCCCCAGCAGCCCCAGGCACCCCTCGGGACGCCGGGTTGTGGACGCAGGACGGCGTCGCAGCCTACCTCCGGCTGGGCCTCCAGGGCGACGCTGAGGAAAGCGGGGCCGAGCTCGCCAGCCTGGTGGAGCAGCACTCCAGGCCTGCGCACCCCAGCGGCTGCTTCCCCGCCATTTTCTCCAGGTATGTGGCTGCTGTGGCGCCCACGCGGCTTGCCTGGTGCAAGGCGCTCACGGATGTGAATGACCGTCTCCGCTGGCAGGCGGAACAACATGGCCATCCAAGCACCCCCTCACCACCGCTCCGCCGATGCAGGGCGCTCACGCTGGGCGCGCTGAGCCGGAGGAGGGTGGCCGCCCAGGCGAGGGCCGTGCTGGCGGATCCGGCCGCCGCCGGGCGGCAGGGCCTCTGGCGCCTCCGGCGCCAGAACCGCACCGCCAAGGCCCATGTGGCGCTCGCCGCGGTGGAGGCCTCCGACTTCCACCTGGAGATGGCGCGGGCGCGTGAGGACAGGTGGGCCTGGGTGGCGACTGTTTCGTGGGGCGCTGGAGCATTTCTGGACGCTGAATGTCTGATCCCACAGCCACCCTGGGCATCTGTCAAGTCGTCAAGTGCCGATGCCCTGCCAGCCAGGCCGCGTCATGTGCCGCATGGACATCAAAGTCTTTTGCGCATGCACTTGCCGCCACGCGGCGAGCCCAACCGAGCGTCCCCCGATTCTCCCCCCCGCCTGACCCAATCCCCCCTTCCCCCCCTTCCTTCCTACCCTCCACAGGGAGGTGCATGGCGCTAGGCTGGGGCACTGGCGCTGGCGCGGCACGCTGACCGACTACCTGGTGGCTGGGGACCCCTCGGCGCCGGCAATCCTGCTGGTGCACGGTTTCGGGGCCTTCGGGGAGCACTGGCGCGGCAACGTCGCCGCCCTGGCGCGCGCTGGGTACGCCGTGTATGCGCCCACGCTGCCGGGGTACGGGCGGTCGGAGAAGCAGGCGCTGCCCTATGGACAGGTATGGTGCGGATGAGTGGGGGAGGAGATGCGGGGAGGGGACGGGTGGGCTTGGACGGGGCGGCGCGCAGGGCCGTGGAGCCCACGCAAGGCGTGCGCTGCAGCTTCTCGGTCCCCCCCCTGCCGCACCTCCGCCTCAGCGCCAAGAGCAGCATCCGGACCCTGTGTGACCGATGAGCAAGTGCCTCCCGCTCCCGTGCCCCTTCCCCTGTCCCCGCCATCAGGACCTGTGGACGAGCTTCCTGTGCGAGTTTGTGGTGCACGTCGTGCGCCAGCCCGTCACGGTGGTGGGGAACTCCATCGGAGGCTTCGTGGCTGCCAGCCTCGCAGGAGATCACCCCAGCCTCGTCCATGGTGTGGGTGGAGGGGGGTCTGTCGCTCGTTGGTGGGGAGGAGTGTTCCACGCCTGTGTCTCCGCACATTCAGCGAGCAAACACCCAGAACAGTGCAGTCGCCTGCGAGACGCTGACTCAAACCATTCGTCATCCTCACACCTTGTTCTCGGCAGGCCTCGTGCTGGTAAACTCTGCTGGCAAGGTGGAGCCAGGCTATGTTGCACCAGAGAAGACGTACTCAGACGTCGCGCAAAGCGGTTCGCCCCTACTCAGCCCCACGCTGATCAACCTCGTCAGCTCGGTGAGGGGTCTTGCCAAGGGGTGGGGCAAAGGAACAGTGCTGGACAATCGTATCGATGTCCTGGACATACTCATGAAAAGAGTTTCATGCCCATCCCATTCCAGGGGCTCTTCGGGCTGCTCAAGGGGAACGTCAAGCGGCAGCTGAAGCAGCTATACCCGAGCGCGCCTGAGCGCGCGGATGCCTGGCTGGCGGCGGAGATCGTGCGGGCGGCCACGGACCCGGGGTCAAAAGGCGTGTTCACCAGCGTGTTCTACCTTCAGAAACCCCGCCCCCTGAACCACCTGGTGGCAGAGATGTATGGCGGCCCGGTTCTCGTACTCCAGGTGCTTGGTGGAGGAAAGGAAGAAAAGAGCCTGGCTTAAGGCTCGGGCTCATGGGGTTGGTCCTGCGGTGGCCCAAGGCCTGACAAGCTGACTCTGTGATGTTGAAAAGCTGTCACAGCTTCGTCCTTTGCCAGGACGCTTCAGACCTGCGACCATCCCGACTTGCCTGCGCAGGGGGTTAGGGACACCCTGTCTGACACCCGGAAGAGGGCGCGAGCCCTGGCGGCAGCCTGCAGCAATGTTCAGGCACGATTGTGGAGTTGGGGAGGGTACCCGGTCTTGACCCTGCCCTGCTTATGGCAACGCTATGTCGTTGGTAAGGGCAGAGCATGGGAGAGAATGGTCTCGACTGAGAGTGTGCCACATCATGCTGAACCACCATACCACGGCCCTGCTTGTGGTGCAGGTCGTGATGTTGGAAGCGGGTCACTGCCCGCACGATGAGGTGCCAGAGGAGTTCAATGCGCGCCTCTTGGAGTGGATGGAGGGACTGGAGCCGGCAGGGACGGCAAGGGCTGGAGCCCTGCCTGCAATAATTTGATGGTCTTCTGGGCGTGCTGGCAACCACCCTGCAACTGCCATGGGTACCAAGACTCCTGTATCACGCCACAAATTCCACATGAGATTGAGTCAGTGATGAGTATACCAACTCGATGCAAACCACTTGGATGTATTCCATTTTGCAGCTGGGCGGTGTTGGAGCATGCCTGTACCTTTTCCCTCATGGACTAGATGCCTGTACCTTCAACAGCCAGTCAACTGCATTCCACGTCTGACTGCGTAGGAGGCTCCAGGTAACGATGCAGTCTCCCCAGTTAGCTCACCTCATGCTCATGGCTGACGGCGGAGGATCCAGAAATCGGTGGGGAATCTGAGCCATTTTGTGCCTTACATCCATGGAGCACAAACTCTTTTCATCCGTTGGCAAGCTCTCTAAATTGCATGAGTATATTCCAACACGAAGGTATACTCTGCGGACTACGTTGTCCTGCTGTGGAGTCCTGGAACATTCAGTTTCCCCCTGGCATCTGCTTCTGGTGAATCTGAACTCGAGCGCGCGCGGTCTGTGCTCGAGCACAGACGGCCAAGTACGGCCCTGTCTTCCCCTGCGATAGGCAGAACTTCATCCAGAAATTCACGCCATAGAGAATCGAGTAACTAGGCTGTGCTGACCTTTGCCGAGCAGCCCGATCTGCAACCACACAGCGCCGTATTTCGGTTGGGGAGGGGCACTTGCCGACAGCCCTGGGGTTGATTCCCATCGCCAGCCATGTTTGCGCGGCTGACGGCCTTGGTGGGGAGCGGGAACAGCCTCCCGTTGGAAGTCACTGGCGAGCCTTCCCTGATATGGGGGTCCTGGACGCACACGAGCGGCAAGTGGAAGGCAGACGGGTCGGCGGTGTCTGTGTTCCGAGTGGCCTCCTCCAACCCTTCGGATCCCAAGCTGGCAGCAGCACGCAATGGCACCAAACGCCTGCGCACGGTGAGCAGGTGGATGCTCGAATATGGACATTGGGGTGGTGCAGGCCAAGCATCACGGGAAGGTGAACAACCGAGACGCTCCACCTTCCATCTGCAGCTTCGCCACCCGAACGTGCTCATATTCAAGGAGACACTCGAGCTGGAAGAAAAGGGCGAGCAGGTCATCTACCTGATCACCGAGCCCATTGTGCCGCTGGCAGAGTTCCTGGAGTCGACGACGCTCACTGGGACAGATAGGTGAGCGTCGGGTGGGGCTCCGGGCGGTGCTGGGATGGTGCGCCACGCTCGGCTCTGGGCCATACCATGAATGGACCCTGCGACACGCTCCAGGCCCGTTTGTGGGGAATAGCCGCACCGCCCAGCGGGCCCTTCCCGCCATGCATGACGTTCTGACCCTTGCTTGTGTTTGTAGTGTTTCAACCCCGCAACAGCACCACGTCCGCCTCCTCTGCCTCCCTGCCGGCCTAATACCTGGTGCTACAAGCTCTACTCTCCCATCTCCCCCCCCCTCGGACCCCTCACCCTCACCCTCTCACCTGCCTCAAACAGGCAGGAGTACCTGACAATGGGCTTCCATGCCCTGGTGGCGGCGGTGTCGTTTCTGAACATCGACTGCAGCCTCATCCATGGCAACATCTGCTCCGGCGCCATTGCGGTGACGCCCACCCTGGACTGGAAACTGTGCGGCATGGACCTGCTGACGGAGCATGCGCAGGTGGGCCCTGCCAGTCCCCTGGCCGCCGCGGCCTGGCTCGTGGCCTCCCAGTACAAGCCGGGGGAGGTGGGGCGCGGGGAGTGGGAGGCGGTGCGCGCCGCGCCGCCCTGGGCGGTCGACGCATGGGGCCTGGGCTGCCTCATGCAGGAGCTGTACAGCGGGCATGCGCTGGAACGGTTGGAGGATCTGCGGCGGACGGACGTGATCCCGCCCAGTCTGGTGCAGTGGTACCAGAAGCTGCTGAGCAGTACCCCCGCCCGGCGACTCAGCCCCGCGCGCCTGGTGGAGAGCGGCGTGCTCCGCACCAGCCTGGTCCAGCTCATGGCCTTTTTGGAGAACCTGGCCCTCAAGGACTCCCAGGAGAAGGTGCGGGTCTTGGTTTTGGCGTGGGGTGGGGGCCGGGACGCCAAGTGCCCATGCGCCCGACGGCCCGGCTTTGCGGGAAGTGGTGGCATCATGACGTAGCATGCTGGAGCGCACACCTCCCCCCTCAAGGGAAACCCCACACCCCCCACCGATCCCTCCACCCACAAACAACACAACAACCTGCAGGACGCCTTCTTCAAGCGCCTGCCGTCCCTGCTGCCCTCCGTGCCCACCCCCGTGGCCCAGCGCAAGCTGCTCCCGCTGCTGGCGGGCGCGCTGGAGTACGGCGGCGCGCCCCACGCTGCGCTGGGCACGCTGCTGACGATCGGCGAGACGCTGCCGCCCGAGGAGCAGGCGGCGCGCGTGGTGCCCATCATCGCCAAGCTCTTCGCCGCCTCCGACCGCAACATCCGGCGGGGATTGCTGGAGAACATCGGGGCCTACGGCGCCAGCCTGCCAGAGGCGCTGGTGGAGGAGCAGGTGGGTGGGGG